TCATTTGAAGAAAATATGAGACCTGAGTTTTCTGGTTTAGTCATATCCTTTATAAACTAACTGAATAATTGTGATCTTTTATCTCATGCTGTGAAAATGCCAGCTTTTCAATTCCTCAAGGCATCCCAGTACAGATGGTCTCTCATTGCAGAGCCAACAACCATCACTTTATTTTACCAATATCTAAGAGACAGACTGATTACATTTACATCAATCATCCTGAATAATAGAGACAAAAATCACTGTATTGTTGCAAAATACATGTCTTTCACTTTCTAGAGAACTGTCTGTGATTTGCAACATTTATTTGTGAAATGTAGGAAAAAGTCATGTGACAACATTCTGTTTGGTTAAGTCAGAGGGGGAAAATGTATAATTTTTGAGAGGACAAGCAATAAATGTGATTCATGATTTCAGAAACCTTCAGTCTTCTCTTGAGGACAAGACAGTGTTCCAACAGAATCCAGCAGAATTATTCAATTGTCTAGCACTACGGCAGTTCTCCATACACCAAATGGCTTAAATGTGTTGATTGAGGGTTAAAGAAAGCAAGACATTTACTCAAGCATCTTCTCTCTGGGTGTTTTAACAAACTTTGGTACCTATACAGTCTTACGGTTTCAACTGAGATCATAGCTACAGGCTGATATAATATAATTTTGCTGTTTTTACAGTTATGTCTTTCTAATTGGCAAGACTGAAATGGGCTATTCTGTTAGAAAATTGAAAAATAAACTTACAGAAAAGAGGAAAATGATTTATTAACTTGTGTCTTTCTCAACAGCCATAAGGGTGATGCAAGTTCACAAATACTGGTTCTAGTTTTTAAGATCATTTAATAAACAACAATAAATTGCATTACTGAATATTTTACTGGATCCTACTTTCTAGCATACATAGGCAATGGCTATATTTGAGATGATGTATTTTAAAAAGTTACAGCTATTGGATGTTTTACTTTTTTGATTTAAAATGTAGTACTCAAAGATATAATTATACTAATTAGCAGACTGAGTTGAGTGTCTTCCTAACACATGGACAATATTTTCCCACATTGTTTCCTAAATAGCACCAAATACTGACCAGATATTTTGTTGACACTCAGTAAATCCTTCAGGGCTGATTGAGAGACAGTGTTCTCTGTTTTGTCCAACATTTATGTCACTTTTCCAAATACATAATTTATTTATCAAATTACTCAAACAATAATCATGCTGTAGTTTGTTTTTGCCTTTTCTTTCTTTGTTTCTTTTTTCATGTAGTCCACCCATTTAATTGTTTTGGAGTTATAGGCCAATGGAAAAAAAAACAATTTTCCATCTTATTAAAATTAAGACCTCTTTGGGCAGTAAGTTAAAAACAGCTGAACAAAAACACTTCAAACTTGGCAGGTGGCTAGGACTCCTGAGGAATCATGTCACAGCTATGTTTCCAAAAAATATCTGAAATTAAGGTTTAGAGATTTTGGACTCTTTTCTGAGTCCAAACTTTTGGCAGATGTCAAAATTTTAGGAAATCATTTTGGAAGAGAGGAAACTAGCCCAAACATTTTTTTTTCCCCCCCTTGTCCAGACAGATTGAAGCAAGGACTAAATCATCAATGGAGTTTGAAAGGGAGGAATCCTACCATAATAACATAGATCTTCATTTTTTTGGCCTGATGATTGAGGTGTAAGAGGTGATCTCGTGCAATTGGAATCATCTTGGCAAGAATTCTAGTCTTAACTATTTGAATCATTAGTTGTATACCTTTAGCAATCTCCCTTATCTTCTTTGGGCTTCAGTTTCTCCATGCATCTGATATAGATAGCAGCAATAACAATTGGGTTTTAAATGAAATATTTTTGAAGATACTTGCAAAAGATAGAGGAAGTTGAAATTATTTTGCATATCCCCCATCACCCCCAGGCTACCACACATAATTATAGCATTGTTTCAAATTGCTTACTTGGTTTTGTTTGTAGAGGCTTGTCTTAAGTGAGAAAAGAGGCTGAACTCACATCAGTTCCCAAATCCAGCAGTTGTGATTATGTTTATTTAGTGCTGTGATAGTCAGCACTGTGGTTTGAAGACTGATGTTATCAAGATGATGAAATTAGCCATGTGGTGAATCTGATTTGGGTAATCAAATGACCAAAATACCTGACCCAAAGTAAATTCTAATCATTTCCATTCTCAACTTTGTTAGTGATTTGGGTTTTCATTAAAATTATTCAACCCGGGCTCCGCACGGAGACTCATGCCTATAATCCCAGCACTTCGGGAGGCCGAGGCGGGCAGATCACGAAGTCAGGAGATAGAAAGCATCCTGGCCAACATGTGTTGGCCGTGTCTCTACTGAAAAAATACAAAAATTAGCTGGGTATGGTGGCACATACCTGTAATCCCAGCTACTCAGAAGGCTGAGGCAAGAGAATCACTTGAACCAGGCAGTTGGAGGTTGCAGTGAGCGGAGATCACACCACAACACCCCACCCTGTTGACAGAGCAAGACTCCATCTCAAGGGGAAAAAAAAAAAGTATTCAATCTGGTCCGGTGCGGTGGCTCATGCCTGTAATCCCAACACTTTGGGAGGTCAAGGCAGATAGATCATGAGGTCAAGAGTTTAAGACCAGCCTGGCAAATACGGTGAAACCCAGTCGCTACTAAAAATACAAAAATTAGCCAGGCGTGGTGGCACATGCCTGTAGTCCCAGCTGGCTTCGCAGCTGAGGAAGGATACATTGGCTTGAACCTTGGGAGGGAGGTTGCTGTGAGCCGAGGATCTGCACCACTGCACCCCAGCCTGGTCAACAGAACTAGGCAATCTGTTAAAAAAAAAAGATTATTCAATCCACAGCCATGTTGATTTGCAGGGAGAAATGGAAAAGAAATGAAGCAACAGACAAGAAATATAACAACTAGGGTAAACATTTAAAAGGAGAGCAGAATTAAACCATCAAGCTACCAACGAGTTTCTTCACAGAATTGGAAAAAAACGCTTAAAGTTCATATTGGAACCAAAAAAGAGCCACATCTTCCAAGACAATCCTAAGTCAAAAGAACAAAGCTGGAGGCATCACGCTACCTGATTCTTCAAATATACTACAAGGGATACGAGTAACCAAAACAGCATGGTACTGGGGATACCAAAACAGAGATATAGACAAATTGAATGAAGAGAATCCTTCCAGAAATAATACCACAATTTCCAGCGATCTGATCCTTGGACAAACCCTCAGAAAAACAAGAAATGGGGGGAAAGGATTCCCTATTTAATAAATGATGCTGGGAAATTGGCTTAGCCATAAGTAGAAGCTTGGAACTGGATCCTTTCCTTACCCTTTATATGAAAATTAATTCAAGATGGATTAGAGCTTAAATGTTTAGACCTAATACCATATAAAATCTAGGAGGAAAACCCTAGGTAGGATCCATTCAGGACATAGGCATGGGCAAAGACTTCATGTCTAAAACACAAAAGCAATGGTAGCAAAAGCAAATTGACAAATGGGATCTCATTAATAAAGAGCTTCTGCACAGCAAAAGAAACTACATCAGAGTGGAACAGGCAACTATAGAATGGAGAAAATTTTTGCAATCTACTCATCTGACAAAGGGCTAATATCCAGAACTACAAAGAACTCAAAACAAATTTACAAGAAAAAAAAAACAACCCCATCAAAAAAAGTGGGCAAAGGATATGAACAGACTTTCTCCAAAGAAGACATTCATACAGCCAACAGACACATGAAAAATGCTCCATCATCACTGGCCATCAGAGAAAGCAATCAAATCCACAATGAGATATCCATCTCACACCAGTTAGAATGGCGATCATTCAAAAGTCAGGAAACAACAGGTGCTGGAGAGGATGTGGAAGAATAGTGAACACTTTTACACTGTTGGTGGGGATTGTAACTAGTTCAACCATTATGGAAAAACAGTATGGCGATTCCCTCAAGGATCTAGAACTAGATGTACCATATGACCCAGCCATCTCATTACTGGGTATATACCCAAGGATTATAAATCATGGCTGCTATAAAGACACATGCACACGTTATGTTTATTGCGGCACTATTCACAATAGCAAAGACTTGGAATCAACCCAAATGTCCATCAGTTGACAGACTGGATTAAGAAAATGTGGCACATATACACCATGGAATACTATGCAGCCATAAAAAGGATGAGTTTGTGTCCTTTGTAGGGACATGGATGCAGCTGGAAACCATCATTCTTAGCAAACTATCACAAGAACAGAAAAGCAAACAACGCATGTTCTCACTCATAGGTGGGAACTGAACAATGAGATCACTTGGACTCAGGAAGGGGAACATCACCCACCGGGGCCTATCATGGGGAGGGGGGAAGAGGAGGGAGGGGGAGGGATTGCTTGGGAGTTATACCTGATAAATGACGAGTTGGATGGGTGCTGACGAGTTGATGGTGCAGCACACCAACATGGCACAAGTATACATATGTAACAAACCTGCACGTTTGCACATGTACCCTAGAACTTAAAGTATAATAATAATAAAAATAAATAAATAAATAAGCTACAAGCTACTTAAAAAAAAAGAAAAATACAATGTTCGTCATCAGCATATTTGCTACACATAAATTAAGCAAGGTATTGCAGAGCATAATGTGATGCAGAAAGAATTATGAAGTATAGTACTTGCACTTTAGAAGCCTATAACACCGAAGTCATGGACTTCTGCAACCACTTAATAATCACAAATGGAATATTTGTTATGTCTCACAGTGAATGGTATAGATGGATGGAAAAGGAGTTCAGAGAAGGGAAGTAATCATTAGGAGCCAGGAGGTCAGAGAAGGTCTCAGAGCAGAGCCTGGCTGTGAGCAAACAAGTATAAAATCACCCAGCAAAGATAATGAAGTTTACCTTATTTCCTATGTATACTTCATACCAAAAGATGCTGGCACCAAAAGAGGGAGTTGTCTGGGAAGTGGGGGTAAGTTGAAAAAATGATTTAAGGTTAGAGTTACTCACCTGGTGCAGTGGCTCACACGTGTAGTCCTAACACTTTGGGAGGCTGACGCTGGTGAATTGCTTGAGCTCAGGAGTTTGAGACCAGCCTGGATAACATGGCGAAATCCTGTCTCTACAAAAAGTACCAAAAAAATTAGCTGGGCATGGTGGCTTGCCCCTGTAGTCCCAGCTACTTGGGAGGCTGAGATGGGAGGATCGCTTCAACCTAGTAGGTGGAAGTTGCATTAAGGTGCGAGTAAGTCATTGCACTCCAGCCTGGTCAACAGAGCAAGACGTTGTCTCAGAAAAAATAAAAATAAAAATAAAAAATTTAAAAATGTGAGTAACTTACGGAATTGGGATGAAATCACAAAAATGAGGAATAGCTAAACTTACTTGCAATGTTGGTGTCTGTACCCAAATTAACTAACCTTAAATGCAAGACTTAGCAGCAGTTATTTTCCATGTTGAATCACAGAGTTGTGGTTATAGGATGATCTATCCAGGTTGAGAAAGAATTCTGGCCAGCAGTTTGAAGAAATAAAAATCAAGATTAGGCTCAGAGGCAGAGGGTGATGGGGCCACAGGGCAGGGAAGGATTCCAATCCATGAGACTGCAGAAGGGGAAGTGAGTAGCCTGTACCCATACGGACTAGGGTCTCATGGATGTCACTGGAGAGCATTCCAGTCTCATTGGATATTGGTAGTTCACTAATCCCTGTCAGTCATGATTGTGACCTTTAATATATTGCTATATTTGGTTTTCATTTATATCAAAGTTCCATCTCTCCTTAATCCCAGTGTTTTGTTGGTCTTCTATGCATCCAGGAAAGTAAGGCTTGAGGAAAAGAAGAGCTGACTTTCTAAGTGTTTTCCACTTTCAGTTATAGCTCCTTAATTCTGAATTGTCACTGAAATCCCCAACCAGCATTAAGCATCAGGTAGGAGATGCAGAGGGGCTATTTGAGAGTTTTCTCCTTCACTACTGAAAGTGATTCTCTGGTTCCTAGATAAAATAGACCTAAGGTTAGTTCAAAGCAGCAGTTAGTATAAACCTCTACATTTGACCCTCAAAATCATATTGATTCTGCAGAATAGATGCAAATGTTAATTCTAGAGATTAATCCCACTGTAAGACTCAATATTATTAGCACCTTATAGAAGATTGTCCTAATTAAACACATACACACCATATATACATATACACACATATATATGTATATACGTATACATTAAAAATGGGTCATAGCATCTCTTATATTGGGTAAATGGTCAAAATGACATTTCTAAGCCATCCTCAAAGTAACTTTGTTATTTTCCAAGCCTTTCCCACTCAGCCTATCTATGAAGATCTTTGCTGCAAAGATTTTTTACTAGATGCATGCTAGACAACTGATAGGATACAATAAAAGAGCAATTCTTAGCCCACAGAGCTCAAGAGCCTCTTAATCAGTGGATAGTACACTGGCAATGCTACAGACTGAGATTCCTTTAAAATAGCTATGCCGCAACCCAGACCAGCTGCTGACTGACAAGGTAGCATGCATAATCCAGAAAGAGAACAAAAGCCAGTTATTCTTGCTATCCAACAAAGTGTGCTTTCTACAGTGATTAATCCTTTTTGTTAATATAAAACTAACAATACCATTCATCTTATATCCCATTTATTCTTCACCACCCATGAGATCTGATGGACATATGTAACTATATAACATTATATCTTTATTTTACAGGTGAGGAAACTATGGTCAGGAGATTAAGAGGTATGCTTTACATTTCACTTTGTAAATCTAAGAATAGAAAATACAACCCACATCCCTTACCTCCTAGATCTACTGTCTTCCTATTGAAAGACACTGCTTGCCATGTTGTCTCAATGATGTTGGGATCTAAATTTATTCCTTAGTTACTATGTCAGTTTTTGACCTTTTCTTATCTACCAAATCAATAGCACATAGGAACACATTTTTAAATATTATAATCCTTACATGACGAAGTCCTTTTTGTAACCCAAAACATTCAACTATTTACCTAAATGTGGTTCATTAGGCTGAATATGGCTTAGAATTCACAGCTTTGTAATCCGTTCTTTCACTCATAAAATATTCTCAGTCCTTTGGATTTAAATATTAATCAACACAGGAAACGCTCCAACAGCAATGCTATGAGCTAGTGTATTGGGTTCTAGGTAGCAATGAATAGTGAATGGAAATTTCATTGCGACTTGATTCCTTTACTGGAGGAAGCTGCAACCAAGTTAGACTGATATTCAAGAACCAACTACGAACCATCTTACAATAAATGTAAAAATGTAAATATAAATAGATAATCTAAGCACTGATACTGATGAAGCATCAGAATAGTCAAAATGATATGAGATGAATTAGTGCAGGTAATTTCTAAAAACAAATATTTGAGCTGTATTTCAAAGGGCGTTCAAGATTTGGATTTAGAGTAGTACATGTATATGCGTTTCACACTGATGGAAGAAAAGGAGAAGAAACTATGATTAGCAAATTCTGTGCCCAAATCAAAAGAAAATATTTAATAATTATCAACCTAACAGAAAACCAAACAACTCAACTTATATTGAATGACTTTAGTGATTCTTTATATTATTATATAAAATCTTTAACGTTTATGGAGTAGAATCACATAGGCCTACATTCAAATCATGGCTATTCTAACATTTAATGTGTTAAGTAGCTAAAACTACTTGACCACCTTTATAGTATATGAATAATTTTACCTACCTATCAAAATAATTTGCTAATAGAAAGATAAAATTGTCTAAGGTATAAGTAAATGTTTAAGTATAAAAAAAATGTGAGCTTGCTCTCTATAGACACAACCATGTGTAAATCTGTGTGCCTGTATCTTTATATGAATGTGTGTGCACACAAAGACATTAATTTAAAGCACAGAAATATTTATTACTGGACTATAGCATATGTGAAATACTTAGCATAGGGCCTGTCATTATGGCTCTACGCTATCATCTGAACATATGTAATACTATTGTGTGTTGCAAATAGGGGTAAAACTTTTTGTTCCTTTTATATAAAGTGCTTAAAATGCCAGACTGAAATTTAATTGAATTCTGCAAACTTCCAACTTTTTGAACATGCGCAATCATTAGATAATACTAGACACATGGTATATTAACTAATGTTCTAATTTGCCTCATGGCAAGTGCCTTCTCTGAGCTCAAAGTCTACATTTTTATTTTAAAATGTTTTATGTCATGTGACATATAGTTGCTCTCATTTTCCACTGACTTATTTCCCATGAGTTTTCTTCTTAATAAAATTAAAATGTCTATGTCATTTAACTAAGTGCTTTGTAGGGCAAACAACTTGCTTATGTATGCCCTGCTTACAAGCATCTAGAAGACTTTATAAAAGTGAAATACTCTATAAGATTGAATGAATTAATGACTATAACATAAAAGTGAGGGGACTTGGTCTTGGTTCAAAAGAAGATCTTGTGCAGATTTTAGTCACCTCCCTTTTGTCATATCACCACCAGGCTTCTAGGTATCTAGGATGTCTTGCTAAAAATTGGTGGAATTTGGAAGTTTTGGGCCATTGAAAGAGAGGTGGAGTACACTGGGTAAATTGGATGGGGCTGTACATGTCTAGATGCACTAGGGTTCTCAAAAGGGACAGAACTAATGTGATATATGTATAAATGAAGGGGAGAATTGGCTTAAGTTTATTAGGAGAATTGACTCACCTGATTACAAGGTGAAGTCCCACAGTAGGTCATCCACAAGCTGAGAAACTAGGAAGCCAGCCCCCAAACCTCAAAAGTAGGGAAGCCAACAGTGCAGCCTTCAGTCTGTGGTAGTACGCCTGAGAGTCCCTGGCAAATCACTGGTGTGAGTCCAAGAAACCAAAAGCTGGAGAACTTGGAATCTGAAGTTTGAGGGCAGGAAGCATCCAGCACAGAAGAAAGATGAAGGACAGAAGATTCAGCAAGTCTGCTCTTTCCAACTTCTTCTGCCTGCTTTATTCTAGCTGCACTGGCAGCTGATTAGATAGTGCTCACACAGATTGAGGGTGAACCTGCCCCTCCCAGTCCACTGACTCAAATGGTAATCTCCTTTGGCAGCACCCTCACAGACACACCCAGGAACAATACTTTGCATTCTTCAATCCAATCAAGTTGACACTCAATATTAACTATCACACTAGGGTTACAGATCACCATCACTTCTCCAAGATAGCCAACTGGATTTGATCAATTAAAATATGCGTCAAATAGCTTATTAACTTTAAAAGATATATTCATTGATGTTTATAAAGATGAGAAATTATTTGTGATGTGAGATTGAGACTCAGTGCTAAAGGTGACCAGAGAGGAGGAGGATTAATTCAGGCTCAATACCAAGACATGAATTAGACAGAAAAAAGTGATTAGAATTCTGAGACATATTTCCAAGTATATTTACTGGTAAAGTTAGGGCTATAGAATATAGTATATAAAAGATCCTTTGCTCTGAAGGTTAAAAGGGCTGTATCAAGGCAAGATTCTGTGAAAATTTTTAAAAGGCATTTGGTGTCTACTGAGAACTTGTCAAAAAATTGAAAAAGAAATCATATCTGAGGATCAGAGTTCTGAAAAAAACCCATGCACTACCACATCTCCACTGAAACTACCTCTAGAAACTGCCATTGTAACTCCACACTTGATGGCAGTATTCTGCAGCAAATCTGGGGGAAATGCTCAGACAACCGCTCAGCCTGGATTCAGATTTATTGGGAAGCCTGGATCCATTTGTGCACATTATTCTTACTGAGAGTCATCAATGCTTTGTCAAACTCTAGACATGTCTTTTAAATGACCACAAAAGTAAAAATACAGTGAAATGTGGGAGCCAAGCCTTAATGCAGTTGTAATAATTTTCACCCCTAAATCAGAGATCCCAAATTATCAAACCACAGAAAGAACACAATTAGCATGCAGAATACAAATAAATGATGGTGATGGCAGACTCTTCCTTTGGCTCTTGGATTACTTTCTTGTTTATGTTCCTTAGCTAAACTGACAGAAGGAGGGCCA